AGAGAGAGAGAGAGAGAGAGAGAGAGAGAGAGAGAGAGAGAGAGAGAACTTCCCTAGTGATTTAGTGTTGCTCTTACATATTTAAGTTTAGAGCTGACAACTTGGGGGTAGATATCATCTCAGCCATTTTTCTAAAGCAATGTACAATTTCTAACTATATTCTAAATTCTAATTCTCACTAGATAAGTGCAGCTTTCACCTCTCATCAAAACTACTTTCTTCTGAAACAGATGGATAGCACTGAGACCCACTACTGGTCAAAATTCTGACTACAAACACATATTTAATGGAACATAGTCACACTATTTTTCCATAATGTGTAAGATTGTCATATTAAAGTATAATTGAATAATTGTAAGAGGAATGGCAGAGCAAGCACAGCCTAGAATATTCAATATTCAACCTTTAATGGAATATGTACCTGACCCAAGTGTTAGCCACTGTCAATTATCACTCCATGTGTGAAATGGAGAATTGAGTGCTCTCTGAGTCTGGTCTCCCATATTTGCTGATATTATAGCCCCATATTTTAATATATATATATGATATATATATATCATATATATATCATAAATGATGTAATTCAAAGTTATCCTATTAAACACTCTTATAATTAAAGGAAAGTATAAAAATAAATATTTAACATTTATTCACACACTAAAACATCTCTAGCTTTTTATTCATATTCATAGACATTCTAATAGCAAAAATAATAACCCAGAAGCTACATATTTTATATTTTCAGCAATATAAGCAGATAGATAATCAATCCTCTCAGTTTTTAAAATAAATAGTGTTATGTTACTTTTATTTTTAAAGGCTGTCTTTGGTCAGTGTAGAAAGATCACATTAAGACCTGTCTCTTTCTCTTAGTCAGTACCTGGTACCATGAGTTTCCAGCTTGTATTGTTTCTGATGAAAATCTTCTGCCCCCTAAGGATGTTGCAGATATTATGTTTAACATTCTTTCCTAGAAGTGATAATATAGTAAATTTGTAAGTTTTTATTTGTGTTTATTTAGCTCAGAATCAGTAAACTCTCAGTTATCAGAAAAAATTTTTTCACATGTACGTTGTCCCAACTGAATACTGGATTGCCATCCTTTAAACATTTTTTCCCACCTCTGAACTTCAGTTAGGTAGGTGCATATGAACATGTGTTCATATTATATTATATATATTATATGCATATATGATATATAATGTGTATTTAATATATATAATATGTATACATATTTTATATATGCATATGTACACATATATGCATTTTTCATATGTATATATACATAACACATACACACACACACATATATATATATGTGTGTGTGTGTATGTATGTGTTTGTGTGTGTATCTGTATTTTTCTTAGTTATGTGTTTGTCATAATCATAAAATCTGCCTGAACCAATCAACCTATCAGATGATCTTATTATATCAAAATTTTAAGGATCTCAGTCCATGATTAGATTTCCTTGTTATTTGAGGTCTGTAATGGCTCATAATGGTTTGATCTTATCAGGAAATTAAGATACTCATATCATGATAACTGGGAGACAAGGAGGTAAAAAAGACGATTGTCCTAGTATCCTCCTAAAGGGTATCCCACTAATATATCTTCCAGTTACTCCTAACTTTTAACATATCAAGCAGGACCACTACTAATATAGACAGAATGGGCTTCAAACAGAAGGATCTAAGGAGAAACTTTAGCATCCAGAGTGTAGGTGTGTCAAGAATTCTATTAAGCTGAGCAGTAATTTCTAATCTCAGTATAATTTTAGGTCTTGAAGTTTCCATTATGTTCTTTTAATGTGGTTTCTCTCTTCAACTAAATGTTTCTGCTTACATCCTTAATATTTATGTGTTTTCTTTAAAACAGCTGGACTAATTCTTAACAAATTATTTAAAGTTTTAATCTGACAATGATCATTTTATCTGTTTTTTTGAGATCCATTCCTGCATAGTGATTTTTACTCTGACAGTAACTCCTATTTTTCTGCTACTCCAAAAACCTAGTGCTTTTAATTTGTAGTGGATATTTTGCATGTGGTTGCTGTTAAACATTTGGATTCTTGTGGCCTGCTTTGAACTAGAGTTGATTCATGTTTAAGCAAGGAGTTTATCTGTCAGATTGACTGGTGTATAATGACTAGCCCTTATTTCATCATCATCATCATCATCATCATCATCATCATCACCATCCTCACGATCATCATCAATGAACTATACCATCCCTTCTTTGAATGGATGGTCTTCCTTGGATTGGCACTTGGTAACTACTAATTGATCTACAAGAACTGTGAATCTAACCTGTTCTGTAATTAACTTCATCCTTTCTGTGCAATAACTGAGTGTTCGTCCCAGAAATTCGTTTATCTAATCCAATGGAGTCTTGCCCTGAAAACATGTATTTGATTCTAACATCCAGACATCCTAGATGCTCATAGCAAATTTTCAATTATCTTTTTCTACAAAGCCACTTCTTTTAAGAGACTCTGTCGTGTAGTTTCCAGCTTTCTCAGTAGCTTTATACTCTGTCCTGCCTCTGCTCCAGGGACACTCTTCTACTCTCTTTGAAGCATCTTCTCAAGCCATGACCTGGTAAGAATCATGCCCAAATCTGGAAGCTATCATGGCTCACCTCACTTATTCATTCTCTATATAGGTCAGAATCCCAGTCTTCAAAACAGTTACCATGTATTTTCTTTTTTAGTTGCTTAGAAAGTCATTCAAAGCAATATATTCCAAATAAACACTGTTAAAATCACACTGTACCTCTGACCATCCTTATAGAGTAAAAGACATTACCAGTCTTTAAAACCTTTATTTTTAAAATGATAAGTATATTTTGATATGCTTTGTATTATATAATTTGTTTAAATGCTTTTTGCATTAATTATTCTCTTTAGTTTCTCTAAACACCTAGGCCTTTGCCATATTTCTGTTATTTATTTGTGAGCAGTCACAGACGTGACTAGATTTTGAATCTCTATAATCTCTGTTAACTCTATTCGACTTTCTAAAATTCTCTGTTCTTAGTATTTTCTTGTCAAGTATCATATTTTACCAATGATATTTAATTTTGTCTAGTGCCTCAAATAAGTCTTATAAACATTTGTTATCAAGTAACAATATCCCTTACTCATCTAGAGTGGCTCATTTCCAACATAACTCATTTCTCATAAATTCAAAGTGTTAATATACAATTTTAGAACAGGGTATCAACAAGCTTTGACTCTGAACTTCTTAAAGCAAAATATATTTGAAAGTTGTACACAATTGAATTTTGTTTCATTTATAATTTACTGAAAGATAAAACCTCACGTGAGGGAAAGAAAAGGCATAGCTGTGTCTTTTTTCCTTATGGTTTTAACAGAAGAGTTCATGGTAAATTGATCAACCCTCAGTCAATTAGACTTTGACATGTACTAATAAGATCTAATTGAGGAATTATGAAGACATTTGCTCAGGAGAAAATGAGCACATAATTACACCATAAAGAGGTTAAAGAATCAATGTTACCCAGCTGGAAGAATATTAGTTGAAGTCCCAATGGCATCTATAAAGGACACTTCATAATACATCTGTGAAATACAGCACTGACAAGGCCAATTAAGATATGTAGAATAATCTATTTTTAATTGTAAGAGTTCAGTTTTAAACATCCATTTCCCCTTTGCCTCGCCCCACTCCAGGTGCTGGGGGATGGTCTCCATCAGACAGTGACCACTATCAATGGCTTCAGGTTGACTTTGGAAATCGGAAGCAGATCAGTGCCATTGCGACCCAAGGAAGGTACAGCAGTTCTGACTGGGTGACCCAATATCGAATGCTCTACAGTGACACAGGGAGAAACTGGAAACCCTATCATCAAGATGGCAATATCTGGGTGAGTCACTATTGGAAATGCAAAGATGCACAACTGAATGGAAAATATGAGAAACTGGGAGAAAAATCACATGGCCTATTCACAGCTACAAATATGTATTTATGAGAACTATTAGAAGACTGAATTAACCAGGTCATTAATAAATTCACTTTTGCTTATCGAGGTCCATGTTCTTAGGCTTCAATGTACATCTAGTGCTAGCCTATTGGATCTCTGTCTTGAGAAACATTTAAATCACTGGAAGAAGCGCTACTATATAAAAATGCCAATCACACCTAATCCAACAAAATCAAGATCATGTCCACAGAAAATCCAAATGTATTTTAATAATCATTAGAGATCTCCATGCACTTTCTATTATCCTATGGTGAAAATATATAAAATTTGACCAGCACACTCTGCATGTCTAAATTAATTATAAAGTTGTACATTCAATCAAAGAGTCACCATATTGCAATAGATCATTTACCACTAAATTATACATGAGGTGTTTTAGTTTATTTAATTATATATTTTAAAATCTATAATAAAATTCATTTAAAATCATTAGTATTAAATAGAAAGAAGAAAAAGGTATAGGATTCAATTTTAGTTTTAGTTTCTTTTGGTATTAGCTGGAAAAGTGGGTACTTTCACCTTAATAAGGCACACTATTTAGAAAGATGTAATTTTTTTTGTTTTTTTTTAAATAATTTATTTATTTTTTCTCAAATCGTAATTCATTCACACAGGGGTTATAAATACAGAAAGGCAGCATGTGGGGAAGGGAATGACACTGGAGGGTAGGTGTTCAGGGGGAATACAGATATCTTCAGAACCTGGTATCGGCTGGGTGAAGGTTCAGGGGACAAGTCACTATGACTCTGCCTATGACTCGCTTGACCTTATCTAAGTTGGTATTGTCTTCCAAGGCTACCTATTTACAGGGTCTATGAGTACTCGGGCTGGTAAATTTCCACAAAAGCTGCCTGTTTGCATTAGCTTATAGCCATCTGTTTCAATGTTTTTTCACAGAGACCCAAGACTTGGTGTTAGTATACATGTATGACAGGCCTGTTGCTGATTTTAGGCCTATGGCTGATTTTAGGTCTTCAGTGTGTAATCAGGGCTGCCCCTGACATCTCCTCCCTTCTCTAAGTATAGAAGGGCTGTGGCAATTCTAATCTTGCGAAGGCTTGGATAGGGGCCTGACCTACAGTAATTGAAGGTGTAATGGCTCCAGTCCCCTTGTTTTTGTCCAGTGAGGCATGAAGGCCATGCTCATCCTGAAGTCTTTTTTTCCTGGAGAGGGGATACTTTTGACATCAATCCCTATACAGTCAGTCTTGTCCCTCAGGGAACCCAGAGATATATTTTTAAGTTTTATTTATATTCCCTTGCATGCTTAGCCTCACAGCCTAAGCAAGAATTCAGATCACCAGTCAGAGGGGGTTTGTAATTTTTAAAGATTAAATTGTTCTTGTAAGTTTCTAGAGTTGAGAATTTTCTAGATTTAACAGTCATTTCCACATGAGTGGCCCACAATAGAAACAATAATGTAAAATAAGCTCACAATCCCCATCAAATAAGAAACATGTCCCTCCAAGAAGGATTATAGAAATAACTCATCTCAAGCCATAGCTCTGCATCAATAATATCTGTATATTAAAATATGTAACATATAGGAAATACATCGGAGTACAAAGATCCCTACAATAAGAAGTTTTCATTACTTGTTGATGATAACCCAAAGCCCCAGTCATAAATTATAGAAAGGTAATTTTCAACCATAGACAGAATAAAAGGCTGTGCTTATCTCCTTGTATATGTATGATGACAATATTAAAGAGGACTGGGGAAATATAATGATTAGAGCCTTTATTTACTTAGTGAATAGCAGTTAAAGATAGTCACACCATGATTGAGTCAAGATATGCTTAAAGAGTGAGATTGTCCAAGATAATTTGGACTCTGCTGGTGATAAATATTGATAACAAGAATGACTGTTCCTGGGAGAACCCTCTGAAAACAGCCCATCTGGAGAAGGAAGACTGGATGTGTATAGAGTTCTCTGCCTCTGTTAACAGTGATGAGGCATGCGCTTCTGTGATCTTCTACCATTCCGTTATTAGCTTTATCTCCTTCCTTTCACATTTCTCAGTAAAATTAGTGAAGTGATGAATGATGCGTAATGAGTGATTATTTCCAGAAGATTCTGTATGAGCTAATCATGAAACTGTAAAATTACCAACAAATGTAAGGTGTAATATAAATATTGAGAGATATGTTTAAGTGCTAGTAAGCATTCCACATAATGAGTCTAATAACCCATAACAGAAATACCAAGAGTGGTGACAAATGAAAATTCATTCACTTCTAACAGTCGTTGAGGATTCTGCAGCTAAACCTTAAACATTGAGCAATGGAATTTTAACTTTTATAATATCAAAAATATATATATAGGCTTAAGCTCATTAGTGATGGTAATTAAATATTAGATTTTATTTTAATCTATTACTACTTAATATCATGTAACTTTGACTTTACAGAAAGTTTAAACAAAAATGGTCAGACTTTTGGTTCACAGAACCTTACAGGATGAAAATTTCAGGTAGATTTCAATGTTGATATGGTTTGGAGCTTACATTTCTTAACCTTATAATGATCACAACCTGAGGACACTGGAAAGCAAGGTATGAATTCTATCTGTTCTATAATATATATATATGTATATGATGTATATGTATAGTAACTATTGATTCTATAATTGTTAAGGAAATGGGATATACATGAAGAGAATATATTAATTCAAATTTATTATTTGAAGACTATGTAAATATTTTGAGTGATTTAACCATCATTGGTACTGTATGTAAGAATGAGGAAAGAGAGTAAAGTACAAAACATGCAAAAAATAAAAAGCCATTCTTTAGACTCGATCATGGGAGCCATAACTCAAATCAAGTGCAGTTACCTCCACTGGGTCCACACAACAACCTTATCAACATCAGTCTTCTGAGACTACCAGGCTCCAAGATGTAGTCCCGTCATCACATAGAAGGACATGGTTAGTCATGGTGGTCCAAAAAAAAAAGCACTAAGATAGGAATGTGAGACAGATTCACTGAGTAGGGGAGTGTAGGCAGGAGTAGTAGTGAGGTAGGGAGGAAGAGGGATACAGGCAAGGGATATTGTGTGAAAATGTTTAAAATATGGAAATTAAAGAACAATACAGTTGACAAATATTTATCAATTAAACAATAGAAACGACAAATTATATAAGTGAGAAATATGAGCAGCTCATGCATTTTGAGGTCAAAAATATTTTCATGAAAATGGATCTTGAAGTGATTCCTAAAATGGCCTATCCAAATATTTAATATGCAAGAACGTGAGCTTCTGAATGTGACTAACTAGCCAAATCTTGCAATCCGCTCTGATAACATTTAAATAATAAAGTCCTGTGTTCTGAATGACAAGGACATTTTCTTCGATGTTGTATCCCTTTACAATGAAAATGACAATATTCAGATAAGTAAATATTGATCCCCATCATTGAGCATGTATAGTTTCAAAAACTCAACTTTGGATAATTTTCAGCAGTTTTTTTCAAGGTTTCCTATATTTGGAGGGAAAAAAGAAATTGTATATAACAATTTCTTACCAAGAGGTCATTCAATATTACATGAAATAAGAATCCCACCAGTCAAAATTTTATATCTTATAAGATTTATACCAAAAATTTACCAGTGTAATGTGTTCACAGTATTCTTCCTCTGTAAGACTTTTTTTTTCTTAAGCACAAGAAAATGTGTACACATTCCTAATCATCTTTAAAAGAGTTTTGACCACTTTTGGTAATAGCAGGTGTCAGATGAAGTTAATTAACACTGTATGTGCTTGGGGATTCCTACTGTTGAGAAATTGTATTATCAAATTTAAATTACAAAGCTTCTCAAAAGAATATGTGAATATCTAACATACTTAATTGAATATTAATTAATTAAATATTTAAAATGCGAAGGTCTGTCACTGATTTATATAATTTCAGCACAAAAAGCCATACCTATTTTCACAAAGTTTCACTGTTTGAACAAAATTAGAGGCATCACAAACATCTGGAACACTGACAGATATTTTGGGGAAATATTTGCTTTTGGGAATGTCAAATCAAAATTTTTGATTGGGGAGTATCAAATCAATAACTCTATTCTCTAACAGTTAGATAATTAAAGTATCTAATCCACTTTCTTTCATGAGGCTGTAACATGTTGATTAGTAACATGTTGAAACTTAATCTGTAGCGTCAAAGGTCTGGATGAAGCATCTCGACTCATCCATTGTTTTCATATTCTGGAAGATTTAACACTCTTCTGGGACTGAAATTCCTAATCTGGAAATTAGAGAAACAACCAGGATGTTAAGTTGCAATTATATAAGTGAGTAAATTCAGTAAGCTATAATGGTTTAGAAACGTACTTTACCCAGCTTAGAAGCAATTTACACATCATGTGTGCAGTGATGAGCACCTCAGATGGTTCTGTTCCCTCTGTCCTCTGCACATTCAATTTACCTTGCTTTATTTTCATGCATGACTTAAAATACACAACAGTACTGCCAATAAAGAAAACATGACTTAACACAGGGGGTAGACTATAAGACAGTTTCTGATATGGTTTCCAAATAAACACTAGGAAGAGAGTGCCCCAATACATCAGTGGCTGGCACACTGTAGACCTGGCCAGGGGCTTAGGGATCAGAGCCCTTACTCTGAGCCAAAAACCAGTGTAGAGCTTGTAACAGATTATTTGTTATCATAATGATGCCTTCGCGTGCAATGAGCCGTGTAAGGGGACAGCATTTAAAAATGAGTGGGTGATTCTGTCCTATCTTTTCAACCATTTGTCATCGCAGTTGCACTAATTTTCCAAATCATTTAAAAATCTGTTCTTATTAGAAATGCATAACATGCATGCCTCTGTTCCACACTACAATAGTGTGCTTAGAATAGTTTCTCTTTT